TGAAACTGACAATGAAAATGCTATTCACGTTCATGCTTCATAATACCGATCATTAGACATGCCTTAATTGGGAGTATTTCTAAATTCTACATGCCTCAATTTTTTTTTAATTTTTTTTAATCAAGACACATTAGCTAGTATGAATATTGTGTTGATGCAAAAGTAAAAAAACAAAGTGGTGTCTTAGATTATGGTTGGTAAAACTAGCTGACAATTAGCTGATAGCTGATAAGCTAATTTATAGGTTATAAGTAAATTTCGAGCTTTTAACTTATATCTTATGACATATAGCTGAAAAACTAGCTTATAAGATAACGGTGTTTGGTAAAATTAGTTGAAAAACTAGCTGAAATAAAAATTTAAACGAGTTTATTTGAAAAGCTACCTAAAGAAGCTTATGAGATAAGTTCAAGTTTTTTTTAAAAAAAAAAACAAAAATCGTCCTACCAGAAGAAACTTATTTGAATACAAAAAGCTTATAAGTTAACTAAATAAGATATAAACTAGCTTATTTGGTTACCAAATATAGACTTAAACTACGTAATAAATCCAAGATCCACATTGGAATAAAATAGAAGGAAGGATTTGACCTTAGTCAATACTCAATTAAGAGTCATCAAGAATATTTCAAAATCAACTTTATATATAATTCAATAATTTGCATGGCTTTGCCCTATGATGATGGCAAATATCCATACAAAAGAACCAATCTCTCACACCTACAACAACTTGTTGATGCTCTTAATTTGCATTACACAAGAACTTGTAACAAATAAGAAATTCACAAACATAGAAGGTAAGAAATTTAAGGATCAGAAAACTTGCCAAATACTCGAATTTTTCTTTACCCTAATCTCAATTTTTTTTTTTTCATTTTTTTATAGGAATTCACATTAATTTATTCGACTTCTAACAGCCCGCGTTCTTCCAAATTCCCTCGAGCTCCCGAGCAAACGCCCTTTGCCTCCCCACGACTATGGTAATGTGATCTTTGTTTTGGACTAACTTAACCCGGGCTCGGGAGATTCTCGATTGCACGTTGTAACTGCACTCGACCGGGATCAACTCATCGTCGCTACCGTGAAATATAGTCACGGCGCACTTGAGTCGACTGTTGACCTCGTCCAAATAGCCCTCGATTTTTCCGGCGGTGCCGCAAATTATGTTGTGAAGCGTGTGCCAAGCGGCATTGTGAGTGTGAAGAAAGAAGCCCTCCATCAAATAGGTTCTCAATCTAACAAAAATAAATAATTTTTCAATCATAAGCTAAATTGGATAAATATATTTGAAAAACAATTCATTATTAACCTATAATGCAACCAGCTCCCTTAAAAGCGAGTCAAGGGACAACATTAATAACGGCACTAAATAAATTGATGACAAAGTAAAGACATTTTAAATACAAGCAATTTTATAGATTTAATCATCTGTGGACAATTACTCATCACAATTGATAGTCCAATTTTATATAAATTTAAATATTAGCTAATAATATATTATAATATTGTGTTATAATAAATAATTATGAAAATAGAAAATTCAGTATGTGCATTTTTTTTTTTTTTACTTTTATTCCTTTTTAGCTTTTATTTTT